ATAAGGATCAGTACATTGACAGAAATGAGATTTAAAACATTATTTATTATTGGAAGAAATTGGGAACAAAATCGATTAAATAAATGTTGCTTTCATTTAAAAATGGATTTACTTGATCTATTTCATCTTTTGTACTTTGTATAATAAAAAACTCTCTTCCTATAGAAATCTTTTCAACCTTGCCATAAGAAATCAGGTAGAAATATAAATTTGTTATACTCTCAAGGCAATGTTTTAATATGTGCTATTTAGCTTGAGATTTAAAAAGTTTTTATTATTTCTATTAAGGAAATCTTGATAAATGGTGAAACTTTTTGTTTACTTTCTCAATTTGTTCTTTTCCAATTCGTTCTCAAGATAATCATAATAGAAATAGCCCTGATTTGGCATTTGAGAAATCTAAGTCCGAACGGAAAAGACTGGTGTTTGAGTTTCTTGAGCTCTGGTGACGTAGTGCCTGTGGCATTTGACTGCTAATGAGAAGGCTGGCAGTTCAAACCCACCAGCCACTCCTTGAAAGGAAGGTTGGCAATCTACTTCCATAGAGATACCCAAGGAGGGGTCACTATGAGTGGGACCCAACTCGATGACAGTGAGTTTGGTTTTAGTTATCTCTAAAATTAGGGTATGACTAGATAATTACTATATCTTTAAGCTATAAAATAGATAAAGCTCTCTGTAGCTAATGTTCTGGCTCCCTTGATGATGTTCAACAGATTATACATTAAGAATAAGACCAAACATTGTAGTCAATTGGGAAGAAAATCAGCCAAAGGGAAAAAAAAAACAAAACAAAAAAAACCTCATGGTTTCATTCCAATTACCACTGCCATCTGGAGACATACTACCTTCTGGGTGGGACAGTGGGACAGGTGAAGGGGAGGAGAAATCCCACAAGAGAAGAAATTCCACTAGTTCTATTTTGTGCACATGCTCAACGGTAATATACAAATGGTAAGAGTCATTATTCTATTTAGGACTTAGGAAATTTGAATCCTGGCCTTAGCTCTGCCAATTAGCTGAGAGTGCTCAGGAAAATTGAATAACCTTGTGGGTTTCTCTTTCTTCATCTATTAAACGATGGAGTAGAATATATTATGCTTTTCAAAGTAAGATTATCAAATTCCCAAGTTAAAATCATTGTTAAAATCACTGCTTATCAGGAATACATCTGTACCCCACATCTTACTATTTGGAAATAGAAGTTAAGAATCTTCAATTTCTTTTCTTCAAACTTCTGAGAAGGATCTTTTATATACTAAAGATAGAGAACCATTATAAGCTTCCTTTCCAGTTTCTAAATAGTAGGTTCAGTTCATTGACCAATGTTTGGTCTAAGTCTGTATATTTTCATGTTTCACTAGCCTGGTAATTAGTATGTAAAATAAAGCCTGTAATTAAATTAAATACACTAAGTGTTTTGACCACAGGTAAACACTGCCATTGCAATTTTAATCCTTTTTTTTTTTTTTCAAATCAGGGCATTGATAAATATAGACATGACAATAATACATTTGTAGAAAGGGGAAAAATAAAGGGATCCCTTGGTGGCAAAATGGTTAAGCACTTGGCTACTCATTGAAAGGTTGACAGTTCTAATCCACCCATCAAGGGCGTCAAGAAAGAAAGGACTAGCAATCTTTTTTCCAAGAGATAGTAGCCATTGAAAGCCCTTTGGAGCACAATTCTACTCCAAAACATATGGAGTTGCCATGAATCAGAATCAACTAGACATTATCTTGTTAGTTGGTTAGTTAGTTAGGAGAAATAGAACAAGAGAGAATGGTAATAAGCTCATTAATATAATACACAATGACCATGTAATTTGTTCACAATAGTTATAATACATAAATCTACACTGGCATAGGTAAGGAACCTAAAGAATGAGGAATATCATGAACTTGCCTGTGATCAAACAGCTGGAAAAATGCAGACATAGGAGAAATTGTTCTGTATGTCTGTAGAATTTTTGCTCCTGCTATTATACTTTGTGGGAGCTCTGGTAGCATAGTGCCTAAGGCACTTGACTGCTAACCAGAAGGCTGGCGGTTCAAACCCCCAGCCACTCCTCAGAAGGAAGATGGGGCAATCTACTTCAGCAGTGATACTGCCTCGGAAACCCAAGGAGGGGTCACTATGAGTCGGGTCTGACTCGACAGCACATAACAACAACAACATTATACGTTGTACTCTCTGATTAAACTCACTGCCATCGAGTTGGATTCAACTCATAGCAGCCCTTCCTTGGGTTTCCGAGGCGGTATCATTATAGAAGTAGATTGCTCCATCTTCCTTCCCAGGAGTGGATGGTGGGTTTGAACTGCCAGCCTTCTTGTTAGCAGTCAAATGCCTTAGGCACTATGCCACCAGAGCTCCCACTCTCTGATTAGTATGGGGTTAAACAAAGTGTCTAAAGAAAGAATGCTTTTACACATTGGATAGTGTTCAACTCTTTGTAAATAGGTAATTCTTTTGTAAAACTAAAGAAACATTTAACAGCATAGAAAATAAAGTAGTTAGAGGAATTAGCCATTCATCTAGTTGATCACTGTTTGTTTTTTAAAAATCATTATTATTTTCAGTGCTTTTTGATAGAGATCTTTCTATATTCTTATCTATTTTATAATGCTTAGTTATTTCAACTGTGTAAATAAAAAAATAGACTTTATATGGAATAAATACAAGAAAAATAAATTGTCTGTTTTTAGAAATACCTCCAATTTTACATTATTTACAGAGAACTTAAGTTTTGCTTGAGCACTATAAAATTCTTCTTCTCTCTTCATGCTCTTGGCTTAAATAACTGTCCACAAATCCTGACATTTTAATGAGGTGCCAACTAAACTAAACTCTAATCATGTACCTGATTCTATGCCTCAGGTTTTTTCTCTCTAAAATGAGGATGATAACAACTACACCCCCCTAAAAAAAAAAAAAAAAAATACACCTACCAAAAGAACTAATATAATAAGAGAAGAATACACAGGTATAGGTACAGACTATATACATAAACAGATTAGATGTATGACAGAGAGTTAGATGATAGATAGATAGCCAACTAGATAAAGTAGTATAGTGCCTGGTCAAATGTCATAATTTTATGAGAGATTAGATCACATTCTTCTTCGATTTCTTAAAAAAAAAAAAAAAAAAGGTAAATAATTCCATTTAAACTAAATATAAAATGTGAAATTATTAAAAAGTAATTGCACTAATTTTATAGTTAAAACAGAGTAGGTAAAGGTAGACTGTTGACACAAATACCTCTATTTTTCTAAAACTGAATTTTAAAATTCATTTTAAAATCATAAACAAAAGCTGCTCTTCTTTATTTCCCATTTAAAACAATTCAGTAATGATGATACTATAACATATGCACACACATTCCATGTGGCTTGTGGCATTATAGATAGTATAGAACTTTTGAAGGACAAGTTGGGAGTACATATTAAAAGTCACTAAAAAAAAATCAACCATGAAACATGGCAATCCCAATCACTAAGATTTATTCTGTGGATGTGAATCTTGAAAAATAAACTGAAGAACTGATATATCTGAAGTGACTTACTTCAGACTTAAATTAAAAACTCCATTTTGAATTAAACTCAAATTTTCATTTCTACGTTTTAAAGAAACCAGTCAACCTTTTTGTCAAATTTTACTGCTTATAAAACAAACTAGGCAAATGCAGAATTTCTAATCTGAATAAAGAATTACTTGTTGCCTGTTAAGAAAATGTATGCACTTGTCAGGAAAAGGTGCCTTGGTCAGCAGGAGAATAGGAAACAGAACTGATAATGTTCAATGAAGTTAGAAGCTGTAAATAACTTTGTAGCTAATAGGTATATATCAAGTCTGACTTCCTGACTCCCAAATTAAAATTTTCTCTCTTTGAGATTTTCCAGGGTGTGTCTACTAGCCCTTTGCAAATTTGCAACTAAGGTAGAAACAATCTTTTTGAAGATAAGGAGACAGATTGCAAATGTGACAGAAAATTAGCCCTTGATAGAGTGCTTTGCTAAACAACTCTCAGGATGTAACAACTTCAGAATGAAAAAAATAAGTTTATTTATAATATTTAAACTTTAGTCTAAGAAACCTTTGTAACCAGTGGCGCAGTGTCTAAGGCATTTGACTGCTAACCAGAAGGTTGGTGGTTCAAACTCACCAACCGCTGCTTAGAAGGAAGATTGAGCAATCTACTTTCATAGTGATATTGTTTCAGAAACCCAAGGAGGGGTGGCTCTGAGTTGGATCCAACTCCACAGCAGTGAGTTTGGTTTTGGTTTTGGTTGTAACTTTAGCCATTCTTGTTCCCCCTCCCCTACAGTATCTGTGACCACAAACCCTTTGTTTACTTGTTGTTGTTGTTGTTATTTGCCGTTGAGTCGGCCCTGACTCATAGCGACCCCTCCTTGGGTTTCTGAGGCAGTATCACTACGGAAGTAGGATTGCCCAACCTTCCTTCCGAGGAGTGGCTGGTGGATTTGAACCACCACCTTGTTAAACCCTCTGTCCTCCCTACAACAGAGCATTGTGGTATCTTGCATGGGTGTCTGTAAATGTCTCCCCATTTCAAAATGATTCTATTCCTTCAATACAATTTTTGTTTTAATTTCCAGCAGAATGACAGTCTATTTTTCTGTTAAGATATTTCCAAGAAAATCATTAAAAAATTAACAATAGTATGAATAAAACGATATATTTCTTGCAGGAACAATGGGGGGAAAAAAAACTAAACAAAGAATAATATAATGTGTAGATCAAAATGTTGTTTGTTTTGTTGTTAGTCAGACCCGACTCGTAGCGATGTGTAGATCAAAACAGTAAACTAAAATTGGTGGAAATGCAAATAAAATGAGCTACGTAGAAATGTGTTGATATATTTAATGTTAAGTTTTTTAAAAGCACAGAATAAAATTTGTGTTGAAAATGATAGACAATACATATTATATGCCTAAAAACTGAGGATAATACAGGCAAAAATAACCAAAACTCACCACAGATGCTATCACTTTCATCTAGTCCATCTCCACAATCATCTTCTCCATCACAAATCCAGTGTTTAGAAATACATTTTTGTGCCGAACAAGCAAACTGATTCCAAGAGCAAGAAGAATCTAGAAAATAAGCAAGAATATCTGTTTTAGGTGCAAAATAAAGAAATCATTTGGGACCATTTTATGACATTATCTGTAAATGAGAAAGTTCACCTTTAGACTTTCCTAGAATCAACCATGCTATAATAAAATAAGCCAAAATCCTCTTGATCATGAATACTCCATAAAATTGACAACAGCTTGCATATTCCCTCTGAGTTTCCAAGTTAAACAACCATTTCTTCCATATGTTTCTCCCAGGACTTGGTTTAAAGCTAGTCATCATTTTGGTCACTCTTCTCTGAGTATATCCCAGTTTTTTTGTTTTTTTTTTTTCTTTTTCTTTTTCTTTCTTTTAAGTTTGGTGCTCAGCTAAAATAAAAGTTCTAGATGTGGTCTGGCCATCTCTTAAAATTTTTAACAGAGAAGAAAATAAACCTAGGCAAGATCATACTATTGTAGATTGGCCAGCAAGTGTATTTCTTTGACAAAGTGTTGATTGGATGTTTTATATTTGGCCAAATGTATTTTTAAAAGTGAGGTGACTAGGAGTCTTGATGACAAGACAAATGTTTTAGAATCTATTTTACTTAACATATTCATGTTGTTATGTTTTTCCCTTGGAAAAACTTGAATTTATTATACTGGTATGGTGGTAAGTAACTTATTACCAAATTATGTGTTTATAATAGTAAAATAAAAAATGAAAGTTGCAGTCTAGTCTATTCTAACTCATGTGTGTCACAGTAGAACTATGCTCCATATGATTTTCAGTACCTGATTTTTCAGATATATTTGCCAGGCCTTTCTTTTGAGGTGTTACTAGATGGACTTGAACTTCCATACAAATAAAATGACCACTTTTCACTTATCAACCAGGAGTGTTAAATATTAATTGTTTGTACCCTCCAGTGACCACATTTATAATAGTACAATCCACTTATCTCTGTTGTCAATTTTGTGATTGCTCTTCTCCACCCCCAGCCAGCCCCCAGTATAACAATCACTAGAAAATATGCAAAAAAAAAAAAAACCCTCCTAAATTCAACAAAAGTGTGAAAAATATAGATTACTGTAAAATAACAACTTTAGTTTTGGTCCTGTGAACTATTTTATAACTTTGCATCTCTTTTTAAAATGTTTAACTTGATGACCTGTGAAAAGAGAGGGAACAAAAAACAATTCTAGAAAATTAAACTAAGGAATACACAATGTTAAAATGTTTCTCCAATCAGAAATTATGAATCCACATGAACTATTCTTAAAGTTCTTTCTTAGCCTTGTTCCAAATTTGGCACTAATGTAAAGATGTATAGCATCTTAATCAAACAAAATGCACCTTCACATTTCATGACGACATTTATTTTTAGATGAGTTTGGCATTTCATAGAAGCTCCACTTTTAATTGTTTTTCTACTATCTATTTACCACAGTGTAGGCTATTTGCATTAAAACAAAATGATGAATATAAGTTTTTTCCCCTATGGAATTTTTTGGAGGCCTTGTAGTTACAAAAGTTATAAATTTTACAAAATAAATTATAAAATTGTGTTTTAGTTTGACAACATGAAATTAAATGTACATACTTACACAAATTAGAAAGTAGAGACTCAGGAGTAAATATTTGAAGAAACAGAACATTAAGGATATCATTTAAAGCTAGTCTTGCAACTAATAAAATTTTTACAATAATAATATAACTGAAAATAACAGAGAAGGGGGACGATAATAAGTAGCAAGAACAAAATGTTGACTTTTCATAGCAGAAAGTAAAAAGAGTAGATAATAATTAATGTATCCTATAAATCAGAAAGTAAGTATATAAAAGTATTATTTAGGTAGACATAAGTAACCACCAAAATAACCAAAAAATAATAGTTAGAAATGAGGAATAGGAGATTGTTGCCATTCATTATAGTCTTTGCTGTGCCATTTTAATTCTTTCCATTTTGAATTATTTAATAAATGAAAAACACTATTAAAATTAATAAACAATATTTTATATAAAATCCCTATGTAATGAAACATCAGTACATATATATTTGCAAGAGTAAAACAAGATATAAAGTCTTACCGCAGTGCAATTCATCAAGTCCATCTTCACAATCTTTCTGACCATCACATATCCAGGTGTTCAAAATGCATCTTCCACTAGGACAACCAAAATAATTTTCTTCACACTTGTGTTTGTTTTGAACTGTGATAAAATATAGAATTTAACGTCAAATTAAATAATTTAAATGTAACCTATTGCAATATAGGTAGATAACAAAACAGTATTACTCCATGAGCTAGAAGACATGAACAACAAGTAAACATAAGAATGAAATAGCTGAAATGTTCTCCTGAAGAATGTCAAGGTTATAGAAAAACTAGATGGTACCCAGCTACCATCACTGGTTAATTTGACCAGAGGAACAAGAGATGATCCTGGTTAAAATGAAAGAAAAAAATGCAGAACAAAACCAAATTATAACTGGACCACTTGGGACCAGAAGACTCCCTGAGACTATCACTCTGAGACAATTTAAACCTTTACCAAAACTATCCTCTGAGATCATTTTATAACTAAAAAGCAAAAAATAAAGGATATTACTTCTACTGAAAAAAAAAAAAAACTAAGGTCAACATTTAATCCAAAGCAAAGATTAGAAGATAAGGGAGCAGGGAAACAAGATTATTGGAAATGGACCAACACAAAACACAATGCTGATACAAAGTGGAAAATGCAACTAATGTCATTGATCGATTTGTGTTCAAATTATCAAAGGGGAAGAGAAATTGTTTTGTAAACTTTTACCAGAAACACAATAAAATATAAAAAAAGAAAATGTCAAGGTCACGAAAAATAAGGAAGTTTTAGAATCTATCACAGACCAGAGGAGACTGGGAGACAATATATAAATGTAATCTGGTTTTTTAAATTGGATTCTGGAACAGAAAGACAATACTAATAGTGATGATGGATGGTGGGGAGACTGGTGGAATCTGAAGTATGTGGAGATTAGTTAGTAAAATTAAAATAATGTAAAATAACTAAAATGCCTATAAAGTAAGTGGGACTGAGGCAAGAGAATTGTACTGGATCTAAAAAATTCATAATTGTATATTTATAACAAGAAAAAAATAGAATTCTAAAAACATGGATGGGGCTTTGCCCTCTGAAAAAGTATACATTTTGTATTCCTATTGCCCTATATTTTTAGACCACTTTGACAGGATTTAAATAATCATTATCTATTTCAAGGTGAGGGAGCACTGGTGGCATAGTGCCTAAGGCATTTGCCTGCTAACCAGAAGGCTGGTGGTTCAAACACACCAGTCACCCCCTGGAAAGAAGGTTGAGCAATCTACTTCCACAGTGATACTGCCTTGGAAACCCAAAGAGGGGTCGCTATGAGTAGGATCCAACTCCATGGCAATGGTTGCATTTTTTTGCATTGCGTTTCAAGGTGAAAGAAGGTATAATAGAATCTCAAAATCTGTTACACCTTGCAGAAATATCATGAGAATAAAACAGTATGTCTGTATATAAAATCATTTTATATATATATATTTTTAATTATGGCATATTAATCATCATAAAACCACCAGGAGTGCATATAAAACACTGACTTTTTCTCTTTACTGCATGGCTCCTGCCCCTTGCACCTTGAGGTTTATGCAGGCTTAGACTGAGTGACCCAGCTCATCAGGTGGGTCCCAGGTTATATATGCTAATCACACAATAATTGTCCATTATGATTGGTTTTAGATAACAAAATAAATCCCCAGTATGTATTTTTAAATGGCAATTCTATAGATTTAATAAAAGAAGAAAATAAATTTTGAGTGAATTCACCATTAAACCAAATAAATACTGAGTGTGCTTTGGTTTGAAATTCTTCTTGGGTTTTTACTTGTTGTTAGCTGCCCTTGAGTCTATTCCAACTCACAGCATCCCCATGTGCCATAAGGTAGAATGGCTCCACAGTGTTTTTTTGGCTGTAGTCTTAACAGAAGCAGATCATCAGACATTTCCTTCCCAGGTACCTCTGGGTGAGTTCAAATTGCCAACATTTAAGTTAGCAATAAGAGCACAAACGACTTGATACCGCCTCAGCAACCCAAGGAGGGGTCGTCATGAGTCAGGGCCGACCCGACGGCACATCACAACAACAACAAGCTATTACTTGATTAAGCACTAGAAATTCTTTGTTTTTGCTTAATGCACATAGGGACCTGGGATTTTGCCTAGAGAGAACCTAATGTAGGGTGATTTACTACTGGCTTCTCACCTGTCTATCCTGTTCATAAGGTTTCATGGATATTCTTTTCCTTATTCTCTAATATTATTGCATTTCTCTATTAATGGGAAATAACAAATAATTCACTAATACCAGAAAGAGATAAATCACCAACAAATGAAAACAGATCTTTGGTTTAATAAGCATTTATTATAACCAACCTCTTTTACTTTTTGATCTCTATTTTAAAATTTATCTTCAGGCATAATGAGAGAAAATGTGTAGAAAGGACATTGGCTTCAAAATTTAAACACTCAGGTTCTATGAGTCAAAACAATGCTTCTGGCTCTGGTAGAGTTGTTATTGTTGTTATTTGCTGTCGAGTCGGGCCCAACTCATAGCAATCCCTCCTTGGGTTTCCGAGGCAGTATCACTACAAAAGTAGATTGTCCCATCATCCTTCCAAGGAGTGGCTGGTGGGTTTG